ATTATCGGGCACTATGGTAATATAATCGATTAATGAGATATATGTGAAACGGAATGTGTTGTACTGCATATATAAATGGTTGAAATAGCACCACCTTTTTGGTTACAGAACAGAAATATATACAAGGCTTGACTCAGTTATACATTTAAATAATTTAATAATTTTGTAAACGTTCAGTACTTTGGCAAAGTGATTTTAATAAGTCACAAATTACATTAAAAATGTATAAAACTCGACAAAATATAAAATCTTTTATTTTACAACATAATCAAAATATTTATACTAATTTGAAAGAAACGATACTACGAGATGACGATATGTTTGTATTAAAAAAGGAATGTTTAATTGTGCTTTGTCTATGTTAAACACAACTAATTGCTCCTCTACAGTGTTATACAAAAAGTAAGAGCATTAAAGCTACCAATTTCACTACAACAGATGCGCATGCATGTAAACAATTAATGTCTCTTCAGTGATGGACGAGGCCAAATTATTTGAAAATCCATAACCAAACACAAGAGCGGATTAATCATTACCTAAAATGTTTTGTTATATATTTCATATAAAACTTTTTTTTGTTAAAGCTGTTTGGTTATATTTTTGTTGCTTATTGTTCTCATTTTCTGATGATATACACTCGAGTATTATTTCCTGTCCGGGAATGATTAATAATATTCAACCAAATTAAATTGTAAAAAAAAAGTATGCATCTTTATATCAGGGGAAAACAAAATCTAATGACAAAATTATGACCAAATACAGAATTATACTTTAGACAATTCTGTATCTTTCAGCATATGGTTCATTAGAATTCAATCATTAAGGCTATTAAAAAAATATGTAATTATATGAAATATATAACAAAAACATTGTAGGTGACGAATACTTATTGTATATGACTTGTACGTTCGATCGCCCCGCTATGATGTAAGTTTCAGCAAACGCTATTATGATATCACATTGTCAATGTAACTTCACCAGATATAGATTAAAAAGTGACTAGAAGATGATGTGACATCCATTCAATCGTTCTGTAACATTTGTTAATATTTCAATGAAGTTTCAAATTTAAGATAGCTTGGTTGGAAGAACTGTGGTATCCTGAAGTAACTTTCCCACATAACATATAAAAATAAAATGTACAAAAAATAGACCAAGACGAATTGACGCCAAATTAATGTAGAATTTCTGGTTCAAAGCAGATGTTTTTGAAATAAATGTAATGTTATCATGAAGTTTTGGTTACTGAATAAATCAAAATATGATCTATCTACAATATACTAGGTCCAATAGATGGTTTTGCCATCACTGTTGATTGGTGATTGTAAATATTCAAGTTAAAGATAATTTGGTTTAGAGCCGATATGACAGCATGATGAAACTTCAACATTGTTTGTTTTTTATCAAAATATGAAATACTCAAAACATAAATTCCCATAATGGTATGACTCTGATGCAGGATTTCCGTTATAATGTTTCGACGTATAGTGGGTGCTGCATCATGAAGAAACTACACCAAACACAATGCCGAAATTAAAAAAAAAACATCATCCTAAAAACAACTTCTGACAGGTCTACCCATTTTTAGATTATGATAGTCCTAACCTAGATCAAATTCTGACTGTACTACCCTATGTTTAACTGTTTTCTAACGGTTAACTGTTCTCTAACAGTTAAGAGCAGTTCTATGACAAATCCTTCTAATAATTCTACGGAGAGGTTAGAACTGATCCTACTTGTATACGGTAAAATTCACTCATTAATTTATTGATGACTTTTAAACGACAAATTCCTTCATTTCAATGTCTTCAGTAAACAAGGACTGTGTGTTAGTATCGTCATTTATAGTTGCAGATTCGGGTGTGTGACTATCACCTTCTTCTGACACCTGCTCTAATGGGTACAGTTTAGGATGTAGTGAAAAATTACTGGTTCTTGGTCGTAGTGGTGGATGTAATTCTCTGAAAAATCAAGAGTTCAGTCTTTTTAAAAACAGTGTTATGCAATGTCATTTCATAATGATTAAATCGTAACGGTCGTAGTGGTGGATGTTATTCTTTGAAAAATTAAGAGTTAAGTCTTTTTTAAAAAGTTTTTATGCAAAGTCATTTCATAATGATAAATCGTAACCACCAATATTCTTTATTGTTCCTGCCATTATTGTGTATTGATTTATGTACTTCTATTTACACTTCTTTTATATTGCTCTATGAAAACAGGGGAAACCCAGGAAACATAGTTTTGACGTGACGAAGAGTGTAAATACTTGTACACATGATGTAAGTGTGCTTAGACTGAAATCTACTATATTTGTTTTCTCTGTGTTTGAAAAACATTGATTTCAATAATTAACAAAAAAATTAATTGATATAGGGAGGTATTATTTTCTCGTGAAACCCGCGTATCGTCTGATCCTATTACTTCATGAGTATTGAACGATTGGCCATTTTGTTGTCATTTTTTATTTTTCATTTTGGTTAAAATTTGGTAATCCCGTAAAGTTCCCTATTTATAAGCCATTTAATACTAAACACACATCGATTGGACCGTTAAGATTTGTGTTTACCATAGCCCCATAGGTATTTATCTATTAAACACCGAACGCATACCCAACTGTTCAACTTTGTATTTTTAAGTTGATTTATTGAATTATATATGATTTGTTTACCTTGGTGATTTGTCCGAATCTGTATCTTCAGTTTCTGAGAAGGTATTTGTGAGAGCGCTGTCTTTTGAAAACTGAGAATTCTTCTCATACATAATTAATCTTTTGGCAGCTTGTTGAAGCTTGTTGGTCATGTCTATTCTGCTGAATAAAAAAAAGTCACTGATCTTTTATTGGTATACACTTACTTTAGAAAAAAAGTGTTTAAAATAAAATTCACTAGTAAGCAGGCTAATGCTGTCTACAATAAGATAGAAAATACTGAATGTTTTCTTCTTTTATATGATATTTTATATTTATTGTTTTACATAAGTTTGTCTAAGAATAAGTAAACACCCTTTGCCATTATTTTTTTATTGTTGTAATCCTACACAAATGGATATACATGTAACTCACTGTACTGAACATCACCATAGTGACGCAACATCTGTATTAAAAAAAAATTAGTAACATAAACGGCTTTTGTACTTTATTTCTCCATATTTTGTGGTTGGTGTTTCATAACATTTCTTATTCATGAATGTTGTTGATAGTAGGTATATGACAGTATTATATGTAGACTAGAAAGAAGAGATGTATAACTTAATGTCTGGAGGGACCTATATAAACCATAACAAAATCGTTACATTTTTAACTCGTATGGATTCGCGCATGAAAAAGTAAAAAATCAAAAATACCGAACTCAATGAAAATTCAAAACGGAAAGTCTTTTATCCAATGGGAAAATCAAAAGCTTAAACACATCAAACGAATGTTTGCCAGATTGCCAGATGATAAAGGACTTTCCGTTTTGAATTTTGCTTTATTCTATGACAGTTACCTTTAACGGAAACTAAGGTTACCGACCGAAAACTATTTTCCCTTAAAACAGTATTTGAGTTACAATGATTTGAATTTTGAAATATTGACACGACTATATATCGGCTTCTTCTTCTTCCAATTCTCTATATTTTAATTTTGTATAAAGCTGATACAAATTTAGCAAATGAAACTCAAGTTACCATCCGGATGGCATTTCTTTTTGCCAATTTGTTTTTATGGAAGAAGCGGTAGTGCCCGGAGATAACTACCAAAAGGAAAACTGGCAATCCTAGTCAATAAAGATTGGAGTCGAACGCACATGCCACATACGGGGCTCGAACTCACAAACTCAGTGTTTTAAATATATATTTAGTAAAAATTACCTTTGACTTTTACTTACTGAAAAACAAAATTCAATAGACCTCTTCCTATTCCCTATATCTTCCATATATGTATTATTTCATTAAAATGAAGCGATACAAACTCAAGTTGCCATTTGGAAAGCATTTCTTTTTGACCGACGTACAAAGCGAATACTATGAGATCCCGAAAAAAAATTGGGGAGCATAATAAGATATTTGGCAACAGAACGTTTGTTTTATAATTGTGAACAGGAAACTTGTTTTTGAAATTCCTGTAAACTCTTCAAATAAAACATATACATAATGAAATATGCATAGAGGAAATGGAATGAGGGTATAACTGTACGTGAACGAAATAGCAAGATAACAATAAACATTTATCCCCTGACAAATTATTTGAAGGAAAAAGTTAAGATACAACTCAAGGCAACCACGAACGTTATTTCTGACAACATATGGACATTAAGTTATGACGGGATAACACTACTTTCTTTTGTTTCTTATCAATTTACCATTTTATCTTGATTAATAAAATGATAAAAGGTTCAAAGAAAAGATTACATGGAATCCTGGTTCGAAAAAAGCGTTCAACCCTATGATATCGGTATTATAGATGCCATGCTTATCGGTATAAGAAAAGAAATTCTAAACAATACAGTATCAACACATGCTAGCAGCTGTAATACTCAATCTGCTATTATACAAATTAGGTTTTATTTGAAAATATTAAGAGTAGATTTCATAAGGCTATGTCAAGCTCATTGCAGAATCTTGAATGAATGCAAGAAAAGCATAATAAAATGATAAAGCTGGATTGAAATAAAACTTTTTATTTAAATTCCGACAAGCAGAATCCAACCTAAATTCCAATAGGGGAAATAAACAGTCAATTTATTTTATCGGTTTTCCAGTTGACAAAGTTATCTAGTAAAGAAGATATATTGTTTTGTAATCTCAGACGTCACTGCAAACATGCGCATCTATATATATATAGAGACTCTATTGAAATCTAACAATCCGTAAGAAGATGCAAACGGAACATGGTTACCATCAAGGAATGGAAAAAAGACAATAGGGAAGAAAAAGTTGTTTAGTTTGTAACAATTGTGTACTTGCTTTCTGATATTCAGCTGTCCATAGATAGTTTAAATCTCAAAGATTTGAAAGTCTACTCACTCGTTTATCTTCATATCTTCAGGATTTTCGTAAGAATTTTTAGGACCTTCGTATGGATGTCGTTCGACAGATGACTGCTTTGTTTGATATGCTGAATCTTTTAGGCTGTGAATTCTAAGTTTTTCAGCGACATTCTCGTCTGTGGTTTCCCGCCATGGTGACGATGACGAGAAACCAGTATCTGTGTCGGTTACACTTAACGCTGAGGAAGTAGACACTACTGCCAGGTCTGTTGTGGAATGTTCTAACGTTTTAGACTTTTCTTGTTCTTGATTTTCATTTCCTAGATAAAATGACGGACCAGATTTCTGATCGTTATTTAAAAGATCATCTGGATTATGAGTTTTTTTTGTATCTGATGTTTCTGAATGAAATGAATGGCTACGTTTTCTGAAAGGTGATCCATCATCTGAAACTTGGTTAGCACTAGGGGTTTTGTTCAAATTAAGATCATTACTTCTTGATTTTCTAACAGGCATCTTACGATATTCATCGTTGTCTATTTGATTTTCTTCCATGATATGTAAAGAAACCCTTTTAGCAGACTCTGAATTTTCATAAGGAATCGATAACGCATGTCTTGAAACATGATCTCTTTTGTGATATCCAACGTCATTCAAACTAGAAACTCTTGGATGACGTCGATGTCGTCTCTTTTCACAACTACTTGACCTGTCTGACGTAACACTGTGAATATGTTGCTGTGATTTTTTACGGGACATCCTTAAATATTTAGGCCTTTTTGGTCGCACTCTTTCGATTCCACAGCATTTACATTCATTTACCGTTTCTTGTAATCGATCCGGTTGCGAGCAAAATGATCTATTCATAAATCGATCTATTTCATCCTCTGAGGAATCTGCTCCGGATTTTATTCTATATCTTCTGTTGTAACGGTAGGAAGGGTCTGATTCAAATGACGTAGGTGTAATGCTTGGAGATCTTCTCGCCAACTCGTGATTGCACTTAATTCTTCTCTGTGCCAAATGCGACTCAAACGGTGGTATATCAAGCATTGTACTTGAAGTTTTTGATTTCGATGCAAATACTTCTCTTTTCCTCTGAGCATCAAGATCGTCTAAGGTCTTTTGTCTCTGTATAGATTTTTTTCGTTCTCTAGTCAATTTAGGAATGTCGTCATTCTCGGCATCATCTAAATTTTCATAACTAGTATCATTCACAATAACTATATGAGGATAACAGTGAGTCACACTACTAAAATCTGCTTGTACTGAATTCGATTTCACAAATGTTGAGGTGCGTTCTTTTTGTGAAACTGGTAACGATGAAAGTGATTTTCGCAATTCTGGATTGGAAAATGGCATAAACTTCGAATATGTTTCATTATCCGATGACAAAACTTCAGTATCAAGCTGCAGAAATTGTAGTGTTCCGTCCACAATTCCAGATGATTGTTGATTTTCATATCCTAATATTGATAGCTGTTTTTCAGCGCATCGTTTCTCAGATTTACTGTTATAGGCATCAAAAAGTCGGACTGCAGCTCCAAAATTTTCCACGTCAATTGGAGGTGTATGAAATGGCTCCATGTCATTCTGTGACTGGTAATAAATTGGTAAAAAGGTTTTACAGTTACAAAAATGAAGACTATTTTAGACATTTGTAATACATTTCATTTTTTCATTTTCATATTTGATTAAAGAGCCTAGACCCCTAGATGACGGTACATTAAAAACAAAAATACACAACAAAACACATTAAACTTTACAAATAAGGTCTAAAAAAGAATATGTCATAAAAAATCATAAATGTACAGTACTAATTTTTTTGTAAATATTTTTCATTTCAAATTCTCTGCATGATTTCTTCTCGCGTTTCTTACTTCCATTGTATATCCCAAAAGTCATTATATATACTTTTTTTTAATTAATTACGTGCGTCTTTAATTTGAAATATATTTTGTAATTGTAATTTTGATTTTGTTTTCGTTTTAAAGATAATTTATATTTTGATTTTCCAATTGTAATACCTTTTTATATAGTCAGTAAATATCCCATGCTAAAACAATATTGACCCGACTATCTGATATTTTTTATTGTGATTTATATTGAACATAGGACTAAATAAAACAGCGTTCCCGTTTGCGTTATTTTACATTTTGTCATGTTGCGGTCTTTCATAGCTTGCTATTCGATGAGGCCGTACGGTGACCTATAGTTTGGTAACATCTACCTCAGATTGTTAGGGAATTCTGCAATTTTGTTCTCTTGTGAACAAACTAAAATTAAGAATGGAAATAGGGAATGTGTCAAAGAGACAACAACCCGACCACAGAGCAGACAACAGCCGAAGGCCACCAATGGATCTTCAATGCAGCGAGAAACTCCCGCACCCGGAGGCGTCCTTCAGCTGGCCCCTAAACAAATATGTATACTAGTCTAGAAGTGCCTTATGTGATATTTTTGTCGGTTGTAATAGTGTGTCCCGATTGCTTTTTTATGAAATTTTTTTTCTTGTTTTTTTAAGGAAACTCGTTGTGTTCCAAATTTATGTAACCGGGTTTTTGATTATCTCGCATTGACCGCATAATTATAGAAAATCTAGTGTGTCATCTGATAAAAACAGTTCATTGGATTCAGATATTTGTTTGCACTTTTAAGATACATTCATAAAACACATTCATTATGTAACGTCACATGCATTTTTCCTCAGTCATTTTGGTATTTTCGTTGTCTCTAATAAATAACAGCTTAATCATTTCATACCCAATATTCACACATCGCGAAATCCCCATTTAAATTATGTTTGATAAACAATATAATAAATATCTTTAATGGTGGAATTCAAATTAAATGAAAATGAAGCTAACTTTAGCATTTAAGAAGTACTTGCCTCTACTTTTAAGAAGTTAGACGAATCTTCTTCTTCAAATTTAAATTTCAATGCTGATGTGCTGGTCCCTGTTGGGGTTCCTTGTGTGGACGGAGTATAATTTTTGTGCGCAGGTATAGCATTCTCTGTCAAAATATATAAATATAAATATTAGATCTGCATGCCTAATAAAAATGTCACGCGAAGAAAACCTATCTGCGTTGTTCCAATTTGTGGGACGTTTTGTCACATAATTTTTCATATAAATTTGTATTTGCGTTTACATTATTATTATGTTATGTTGCAGCGGAGATTTAATCTACATGTATATTTCAAAAGGAAGCAGATATATTGGATGCACTCAGAATATGATATACAAAAATGAGACATTAAAATACCATGGCCATTTAAACAAAAGAAAAATAAAACAAGCCACTGTCTTCATAACACCATATAGGAAAAAAAAATAGCAACACGAACGCCACCCAAAACCAAATCACATACATATATTGAACAAATTTACAGTGCGTCTATAATTTTTGCAAGTAATATGAAAGATTCATATTAAAGTCTTTGTTTTCTGAAAACTAATTCCTAAATGAAATAACACTATTATTTCGATTACGTAGATTAAGTGAAAATTGAGTATCATCATAGTATATTTATATTTGCTTACAAAATCGAATGATAGTTTATTAACAAATAGTTCTTTTTTCTATATTATCAATCATGCTTATAACGTCATTAAGGGATTGGATAACATAACATTCTGATAATGAGATGACGGTTGTCATTTGATCAATCATATTTACGTTTTTAGTAACACTGTGTCATTTTTTAGATAAATTAGCAAGAGTGTTTATAATGAAAAGGACTAATAATGTTATTGATTAGCTTCACATCATCCTTCATTTTGATTATCCTTAGTGGTCATGCTACGTAAGAATGGACATTTTGCTGAACGTAGGATAGTGCTTTAGGGGGTTTAATAATCTCTTTTTTTATATGGTGCTGTTGTTTTTTAAACCTTGCTCTTTAATTCCATTCTTCAAACTAATGTTGATGTATTTAAAAAAAAATATTTAAAACATATCTGATAGCGTTATTGAAATTAATATTGGTGTGAATTATAGTTTAAATGTTTTTAAAAAAGTTAAATCAATTATGTACTTTTATTTGTGTAGTAATGAATTTTGTTTTGGAGGCGGGGTCTGTTTATGGACGTGTTGAGGATTTTTTTTGTGTTATTCAAGTTACTTTGAATCTGTAAAACAGAACCCATCAAAGATACCAGGCTTATAATCTTATACACCAGAAGCAGATTTCGTCTACAAAAGAACATCTGATATATTGACGAGTTTTATTCAGAAAAAATATTTCAGAAATCCAAATTACAAACCGATTTTCCATCCCTTTACTCATTTCAAAGCTGTAAATAAACGAAATGAATCTTATTATATCATACCAATAAAAAAAAACTGTTGGATAATATTAAGGAAATCTAGTTAATACAAATCGATACTGTTAGCTAACGATATGTTTTAAAATAGTAAATAAACGTTTTGATATTCAAATAACAGTGCAAAAATTATCAAAGTTAACTTAAGGTACACGATGTAATTATACTTCTCACATCAAGAAGATGTTAGAGCAATACAATTTGAAAACAAAACAAATATTAAGTGTTTATAATACTATATTTATTTGTGTTTGGTCTGATAAATAAATATAATATTCCGACGATTTTAGTGTGCACTATATTTTTGTGTGTATTTAATTTACTAAAGTTTAATCAGCTTTTCAGTGTTCGAATAAATTTAGGATTTTTCAATATTATGGCCAAGAGCATCACTAGAGAGACATATATTGTCGAAAAACGCATCTGTTGCAGTAAAATTTGTAACTCAATGTTGTTTAGTCTGACAAAGAACATTACACTTTGCACCATTATCAAGTTGAAAGTAAATGATTGTATTTCAAAAGTAATTCTGGAATAACCATAATCAGCTAACATCCAGGTCAAAAGTTCTAGGTACTAGGCGTTCAGTCAACATGCATCCGTGTATTTTCTTTTGATACAATGTCAATCATTCAATGGCCCCATTTAGGGGATTTAACCGTTAATGCCTAGGATAAAACATCTTTTTTTATATCTTAAGACTAACCTGCTTGTTTTTTGAGAATTTCATCTGTATCTTCGCAACACTTGAAGTATCTACTACATCTACGTCTAGTTAAAAGAAGCAGTCCGAATAGAATTAATAAAATCAGAACTGTTATCATCCCTATCCAAATAGGCTCGTCCATTAGTGTTCGTTTTGACTGTGTACTAATAAGAGGTTTCTCATAAAAACTGCAATTTCGACCTATAAATAACAAATGAATAGAAGAAAGTGATAACATATTAATTTTCACCTTTAAAATTGAACATCATTGAGAATACTTGAAACACTTAAAGCTTGATTAAAGTTTGAAAAAAAGTATGCGAGTACATTACTAACTTGTGAAACAAGACCTGCTGACCCTTCCGCAGTACTTATTTCAAACAAAACTATTCTATAAAGTTTAATATTTAAAAAGATAAGAAAACTATTAGCATTTGACAAACCATGCAAAGCTCCTTGATATCAAAAATATAATTAAATAGTTTTATAACTAAATAAATGAAGAATGTGTCCATTGGACACAGATGATGCCCACGCTGGCATATAGCGTTATAAAGGGACATGACTACAGAACTGTAAAAGTGACTCCACCCAAATTCGAACTTGGTCTGTGGCTTATGATAATAAGCATTGCGTATAAGTTTCATAACATTTGGTTGAGGCAAACTAAAGTTAGAGAACGGAAACTAATTTTGGGACGTACGGACGGACGGACAAGGGTAACACTTAATGCCCCTCAGCCGCGGTGGGGGCTTAAAAAAACGAAATTCTGAAATTTGCACAAACATTATATACGTATATTTAAGGAATGACTGTAATCATTTTTCTGTCTATGAAGAAATAACATCAAAAATGTGGTACACACTGAATAACCCGCGTAGCGGGTTATTTTAAAGTGTGCACCACATTTTTTATGTTATTTCGAATAGACAGAAAAAATATTACAGTCATATCTTATAATTTAATTTTAAATTCCATTTTAAACCTGAGTAAACCATGAAAAAACATTGATGACGTCACGGTCACATGACAAAATTATGTCTATGTGCTGATAAACAAAACAACTTCAGCCAATCTGAAGACGCGTTATATCGAAAATTAAATTATATAATGATAACAATAATGTTGATGTAGGATTCGAAAAGCAAATACTTTTTTATAAATTTATCAAATTGCATCATTAAGTGCCAATCTGCCTAAGAATCAGGCAATGGCGAAAACATGACAACCAAAAAACACTCAAGTTGACATTAATGTATGTTCAAATTGTATAATGGTGGACGAATATAACATTCGTTTCCTTTTCCTGTTCTGGTAATTCAAGATATAATTTGGTTAAAATGCACTACAAATTAACAATTAAGGTGGCTAACTCCGTAATTTGCTATCATTCTAACCAAAAGTTATCCAGAGATTTTTCGAATTACCAGACACGCAGAAATGAAAGACCTACCATTTCTAACTCGGGGTGAGGGTAACTTCAAAATTGGATGATTAAGTCAGTGGTTTTTTTTCGGTCATGTTTTGATATTTTTCTAAATTGCCTGATTCTTACAAAGACTGGCACTTAAAATGTTCACAAAAAAGTCTGTCAGATATTAATTTATGTGTATTTGTATTTTTGAACTTCGTTTTTCTTTTATGGAATGAAAACTCTAAAAAATCCAAAAACTGTAAATGCAATAATATCAATAATAGTATTAAGATAGGAACCATAGTACTAAAAAGATAGATTGCTGCAATATGCCTTATATAAAACTACAAGTTGTTAACAAAATCTCTTAAGACTTTGGTTTATTTTCTATTTTGCCAGACACTATGTCTAAAATAGCCATCATGATTACATTTGTCAATTTTGGGATGTTTTAATTACCTGTCCACTCTTTGTTACAGCTACATGGTTTTCCTGAAATGGCATCCTCTATACACACACCATTGCCCGAGCATACCATTGCAGCACAAGCAGCCGACGTAATGTCACAATTCTCTCCCCAGTAGTCTTTATAACAATCACAACTATAGCCGCCATGATCAAGAATGCATTTCCCGTGTTGGCATACAGGTAATTCGCACCAGGAAACCTGACAGAACATCCCTTTTAAAACACAGAATCACGTTTATAAGAGATGGTCACTGAGTATCCAACTGACACATTTATTGTTTTAGAAGTCGTTATAAAATGATTTAAAGTATTTAAGCATTAAGACAAAACTGAGAATTAAATATTCTTTTCAAGGAAATAAAATTGCTTAAGACAGTTTAAATCATTGTTTGACGTGATTATCAGATATATACTACAATAACTTACTTATTTATGAAAGAAATACTCTGTGATTCTACCGTATGATATTAACTGCACAAATGTTTGCAAATCAGATGGATATAACCTATCTTTGTAATAATTTCCTGAGTGCAAATGATAAAAATGTCTAAGGAGTAGGATCAGTTTCCACCCGTTTTTGTTTCACTCATTGGGGAAAAAATCTGAAAACTTATTAGATTTACATATCAAAGGGTCTATATTAATAATTCAATAACGATTCGTCAATTTTATATATTTCTCTTTTTTTAAAAATGTTATTCAGTGTTACATATTAATTGAAGACAGCATTGCAATTTTTATTATGCATTGAAGGACGCCGTCAAACAAAAAGAATTAATTTTGATCCGAAAGGCATTATATATAATAACTTTCATTAGAATTTTAGTGTTAGTTAGGAATGTCCTTCATATACATTGTTTAAGATAATTACTGACATTTTGTAAACTTTTTCCAAAATTGCTAATTTGATGCATCTCCAGGCTATTATATTTTGATCATATACGTATGTCAAAGTGTGGTTAATACCATGAAGTACATACATATATATGAATCTATCATACAGTGAATTTTAGAAAATTATCAAGGACTTTTTCAAGTTTTTGCTTTATTCGCCTACACTATGCATAAGATTGATATAATTTGAACCTCACACTTCTCGAAAATCAGTATGGGGCTGTTTTTAAATTGAATTTTGAATATATATGAGTGTCTTATCATATAAAACAAAAATGCATCACACAGTGCTTTATTTCAGGTTAATGATATTGGTTATGGTCATAAAGTACCACTTTATCAATTTGGTTCATCAGAAACACTTTTTGTGGACTTTCGATCATCCGGAACGTTCAAAAACATAAAATTTAATATGAAAGGGATGTTGCATTACTTGAATACTTGAGATGCTATGTAACCAAAAGAGACTTAGAATTAATAAACAAACCCTACTATTAAAGTTCAACTTTGTCTGAGAGAGTTGGAACCTGAGAATCTTAATATGTTTTTTTTAATTTATCAAATTAATATGTAAGAAAGGTTAGATATAAATCATGCCAGTACCGAAGCATTGACTACTGTACTAAAGTCCACCAGCAGTAGTATCGACCAGCTTCATGTTTCTTTTTTTTTTTACAGACAACATTTATTTGGATTAAATGTAATATTTTACAAGTGATCACGTTACCGATAGACATGAACTTTAAAACAAACCCTTAAAACAGATGAAGTAATCATAAGATACTAACAGTCCCTCAGAAACATAACACAATGTTTTAAGTTTATACAAGACATGAATTTCATATTAGAACTCAATGAAATTGAGTATTAATCTGAAAAATGATGAAAAGCTATTAAAAATTGTCTGATATAACCAGCTTAAATTACAAAGACAGATTCAGCTGTAATGTTTATGTAACCCTGAAACATTGATCACTAGAATACTAAAGTATCTTAGGGGAAAAATGCTCAATTATTTTATTATTGTACTTAGTTTTACATTGGTTCTATGCAATTTCATATTTTTCTACATTTTATGAGAAAAGACGAAGTTTTCGATCAGTGAGGTAGATCGGGTGTCTTTCGCCATCTTGAATTGTAAAATAGCAAAACAAAATCAGTTTTGTCCTTTAATCAAATATGCAAATTTTCAGACAACAATGTAATTCAATTGTTAGATTTTGTATATATCAAATGAAAAAATAATGTGATTTCTTGTTATATTACGAATGTTTTACTAATACTGAAAACAATTTTTTTTATTCGTTTTTTTAAACTTAGCCAGATAACTCAAGATAATTCAATTTTATAAAGGAATGTTAGTTACATTTACCAACTTTGCTTTCAGAATTTTCTGAACATACATTGTAAAAGAGAGGCATTTGTAAGAGCTATCTAAATTTTTTCTAATGGCATAAAAAATGTTTTTCAATGTATAATCAATACAAAATATAACAAGTTTGTGAAACCTTTAGTAACCGATAGTTTTTATAATATTGGAAGCAAATTTCGTTTTTTATATAGACCCCTCTCCACCGAGCTACCTTCAAAATATATAAATCATTTGTAGAATAAAAAGACCAAAACAATAGAAAAAAACTGTTTAAGGCCATTTTTAAACCAATAAGATGAATCTTAGATTTTACTAAAGTTGTATCATTTTAGAGCTGTGATTGTGTAGAAAAATAATCAAACAAGTAAGTATCTACAAAGGAGTTCTATTAGTTTGATTAATTTGATTCAAATAATTATATTTCCCTTGTGTTGAATTTGATTTTTGCTTCAAAGATAATTTAGTTATTATTTCGGATTGAAGCTAACAATTTTGGAGTAGTCCAAAGGGAACACTATTCTACTATTTAGAAAATACTCTACACTAATTGTTGACTCACCATTTTTAAGGTCAGAATACTTATTTGAATAAAAGACCCTCGACCTTAAAGTGTAATACCACAAAATTGTTTTCTCCTACTATTCTCTAGGAAATTAAGATTTTTAAAAAATATTACCATTATATCTTTATTTCAAATAAACTCAAATACTATATGCAGGAATTCCGATACTTCCTTGTATCCCTGTTATAAATTTCAACCAAAATTTCATTGAATATAAAATCAAATTACTCGGAAGTTAATTAGATAAAGTTTTCTACTTTTTGTCTGAGTTTTGAGCCAAAAGTTGTTGGTTAACTTCAAGTGTCACAAATTGTTTATAAAGCAAATAAATATATTTAAAGAATGATGTCTTTCCATGTTTGAAATTTCATCGTTTTATTTTTTTAACCTTTTCATTAACTATTTACGTAAAATATTTGGTCAAGTTTATGGCTGATAACATATGCTGCTTTTAAATATCAATGCAAGTGATAAATTGACAATATTAGTTAGATGACAGACAGAAGAGCTCAAACGTTAAAATTGACGCAAAGGACATCGACAAGCTAAAATGTAGTATACACGATGCTCTTTCACCTTAAAACCTATTCAAGAAATGTTGACTGATATTTGTTAAAGAAAGTATAACAAAAATACCAGACTCAAAGGTAAATTCAAAAAGAGCAAGTACAAAAACACTGACAAAATCAAACGAAAGACTTTATCAAACAACGGAACGAATGGAAAACGGTTGTCATAATCCTAATTTGGTACAGCAATTGTCCGAAGAAAATGGTGGGTTAAACTGGGTTTTATAGCTAAACCTCCCACTTGTACGACAGTTTTTTTTATATTTCCGTTATATTAACATAATTGGATGAGCAACAAAAATAATGTTGCATATTTTTGGGGATATCAATTCAGGAAAGTAGAACGATATCATGTTTACTTGAAGCGGTTTAGTTAAAACAGCAGAAAGAAAGTGGGAAAAAATAGTTCCGAATTCAAGATTCCATAACTTTTTAATCCTTATGGCTCGTGGCATTTCCCCCATCAAATCCCAGAATCACATTACTGCAAGATATGTGCATGGAAAAATTACCATTTTCTTTTTTTTCTTCATAAAATTAAAGATCAGCTGATTTGAATGTGAGACTAATTACAAGGCCGCAACCTTAAAAATGTCAGCTTAGATAAGATGAAGGATTTTTTTAAAAATATAGCCATCTTGTAAAAAATTGTGGTGTTAAGATACGTTATTCTGAATGGTATACACCTATAGACAGTACCTGCACGAATATGTGTCCACAAATAAGATATTTTGAACAGAAATAGGGTCAAACTAAGCCATATCGGCTGTCACACCGTATACAATATTATCTTTAAATATAGATATATGTATAAAGGTGTATGGTAAACATTTGCGAACTAACAAGGATATGTATAACCACCGACAATTTGCATCCTAGCCTAATCTTAATCTTAGATGCCACATTTTAATATTGTCTTTTGAAATGTGTTATGTATACATACCTGTGTAATGAACTGGGCAATTGCAAATATATTCTTCGGTTGAAACATTTTGACAATATCCTCCATTTAAACAACTTGTGTTTGAACATTTAGCAAAGGGAGTGTTTGGATATCTATTTGTTTTCAAAAGGTAGTCAATATCTAAAAAATAAAAATTAAACGTTATTTTATATTGATACTGACGATTTGCTATTGATCACGTAACGCGCATCTAAAGTACTAAATTAAATCCTTGGTAATTTTTTTAAAGCTGGATCTGCGCATGTTAGGCGTAGACAACTTGAATTTGTTGATTTACATATTTATAGATATCATAATATCTTTGTTTATAGTTGAAACCACGAAGAAAGGAGATAATGAAACATGTTATGCCTAAAGATATACGACGATCTACAATATTCAAAGTATTAATACAATTATTCCTGACAAAAGGCAAAGATGGCAATCAAAAACAATACTTGGAGAAAAATATATACCACCATGTTCAAATGATAAGAAAGAATAACAAACAAACAACATAAATCCATGAGAAAAATATTAGAACTGGAGCAATTCCTTGACCATCATTTCAGAAACATTGATAGTCGAAAAGTGCGTCTGGTGCAGTACAATTGGTATCGTTAATGGTAGTCAAGACTAATTAGGTGTACAGGTTTTCATTGACGTTAATGAAATAAATTGACTATGTTAGTATGTATTTAACTGAAAATAGCAAACCGAGAATAACTATACCCCCTAAAAGGCACAATGAATTCACAACATTTTCAATATTACATTATAACATTGTTTCTGTTAAATCTATTCACCACTTTTACAGACATTGGTATATTGTATAGATACCAGCCCTGTTAATCATTGTAGATTGTATGTAACCGTCTAGGATGTTTTTGTCGTTTGGTTGCTGTCTCGTTGGTGAATAGTTAACATCTCCTTTTATTCATATCAATAAGTTTTTTAGGGCAAATACGGTTATATTCGCTCTATAAATAATATTACTACATCAAAATTAATATTACAGTATCTTTTTTAGCCGTGGCGTTGTCAATTTATTTTCGACTTATGAGTTTGAACGTCCCCTTGATATCTTTCGCCTCTCTTTTACAATACATTCCTGCAAGAGGAATCATGTTTTCACTATACATCCCAAAATATGTGACAAAACTCAGTAATGTTTAGTTTTCAGACCAAATATTGATATCTCTATGCCTGGTTAAAAGGGTTTTAGTGATGAAAATCAGATAAATCATTTTAAACACGCACATATGGAACAAACTGAGAAATACACACTATAAGAGGGAGCTAATGGACCTTCTAATCAAGGGAGGGAAGACACAATACTCCTAATTGCCACAAATCTGGTGTAAAGATTGTCTTGAGCTCTTTAGTATATAAATGAAACATCATGAGGTGCCAGCTTTTTTCCAATAAAAGAATCATTTACATGACTTGTTTCTTTATTATTATGAGGCTGACTTCATACAGGAACTTCTTAGGAAGAAAGATAAGACGTTAGCAATATCCTTTAACTTTACTTTCCGCTATATAGATGATGTTCTCTCACTAAATAATTCAAAATTTGGTGACTATGTTGAACGCATCTATCCCATCGAACTAGAGATAGAGGATACAACATATACAGTTAAGTATGACTCATATCTTGACTTACATCTAGAAATTGACAATGTGGGTCGGTTGAAAACAGAACCTTACGACAAAAGAGATGATTCAGCTTCCCAATTGTGAATTTTCCATTTCTATGTGGCAACATTCCAGCAGCGCCTGCATACGGAGTATATATCTCCCAATTGATACGGTATTACCGGGCTTGTATTTCCTATTATGATTTCCTTGATAGAGGGTTGCTGGTCACAAGGAAGATATTAAACCAAGAGTTCCAAATGGTGAAGTTGAAATCATCCCTTCGTAAATTTTACGGACGCCATCACGAGTGGGTTGACCGTTATGGAATAAGCGTTTCAGAGATGATATCGGATATGTTCCTTATGTCGTAATTACAATCCACTTTCTTTTTCACCATGAATGTGACCTACCGAATTAGACTTTTTACCGGATTTGTAATAACATGAGCAACACGACGGGTGCCACATGTGGAGCAGGATCTGCTTACCCTTCCGGAACACCTGAGATCACCCCCAGTTTTTGGTGGGGTTCGTGTTGCTTGGTCTTTAGTTTTCTATGTTGTGTCTTGCGTACTATTGTTTGTCTGTTTGTCTTTTTATTTTTAGCCATGGCGTTGTCAGTTTATTTTCGATCCACGAGTTTGACTGTCCCTCTGGTATCTTTTGCCCCTCTTTATACATGACAGGGGAGACTTTTGTTAATTATTGATTTGTTTGTATTCGTTCTTTTTTTTTTTGGGGGGGGGGGTGGTGTCTGTTGGTGTGTGATTTCTTTTGTCTTTTTTTTCAGTTTTGATGGGTAAATAAAGGCACCAGTAGTATACCGCTGTTCGAAATTCATAAATCGATTGAGAAAAAAACAAATCCGGGTTACAAACTAAAACTGAGGGAAACACATCAAATATAAGAGGAGAACTACGACACAACAGAAACACAACATTAAAATGTAACACACACAGAAACGAACTATAATATAACAATGGCCATTTTCCTGACTTGGTACAGGGCATTTTAAGAAAAAAATGGTGGGTTGAACCTGGTTTTGTGGGTAGCCAAACCTCCCGCTTTTATGGCAATGTTAAATATAACATTAAAATGACAACATTACATGAGATCACTACAATACAAATAAATGGGAGAACATACAGGACAGAGAAACATACAAATAATAGCTAGCAAAAGGTACCAGGTTTAAAATTTAATACGCAAGACGCGCGTTTCGTCCACACAAGACTAACCAGTGACGCTCAGATAAAAAAAGTACGAAAGCCAAAACAAGTACAAAGTTGAAGATCATTGAGGACCAAAAGTGCCAAATAAGGCTAAGGTTATATGTCTGGGATAAGAAAATCCGTAGTATTATCGGCATAATATAATTGAGTCATTTTCATGTACTGATCTTTATTGTACGTTTTGATATTTTAGTGATCGACATTGAAAGGGGCAGGGTTGAGAACTAAACAGATCTTTATCAGTGGTTGTCTTTGTTTTATATTTTAATGTTTTTCTATGTAATCAAGAAAATAAGTTATTGGCGGCAGATCTTTCATAGTTCCTGTTAACTTTATTTACGTCTTTTCTAGACTCAGAGTAATCTAGAACATGACATGTTGTTTAAACTAGAATTAGTTATTCTGTTGACCACTAGATACATAGTAACTTTTGTGTCGTATGGCTGGTTTCTCTTTGACGTATATCAGTTTGTTTTATCTAATATGAATGCATGAGAAATTATGACGAATTTCAGTGTTTAAAGATCATTTGGTAACTTAATATTAGTTCGATTACAAGAGCAGGCGATATATTCTATATCCCTTTTTTTCTCCAATCGTGAGATATATGTGATTTTGCTCATTTTGTCTGTAAAATTGTTTGATTTTTGCATAAAAAAAGCATAGTTTGTAAAAAATGGCTAGAACGAATGCACAAATCATAGATTGTTGTGGACTGAAGACATAAGAGAAACATACCTGGTTTGACAGAAAAAGTGGCACTATATTTTGTCAAACTTCTGTCGGCATTCTCTTCGCCGACTGTGAAAATTATTTTCAATTTGTTTAGGTTTGATTGTATAACAACTTGTTCCTCACCACCTGACGTACAAGATGAGTTTTTCAGTGAAATGGTGTTGAATTTTCCAAGTGTATCATCAATTATTTCTACAGTAGATAAACTACAGTTTCCATTCACTTTTGAAACATAGGTAGACATATTTAAATCTATCCGGTAACCAATGGGGGCAGCTAAACTTGTAATCTGAACGATTTTAAGTGGTGGAAAGTCAGGATAATGCGGGCTTACAATCTCTCCACTTGAATTTGGTTGTAGCTGTTTTGCTGCAACAATGGTTGGCGTAGGAGAATAATCTGCAGAAAAAAAATCATAACGTCAAAAATAAAAATAAAAAATTTAAATACAGGAATAACACTAAATAAATGTCATTTCGAAAACCTAATCTAATAATATATTTATTTTAAATTCTGAAATTATCATATGATAATTGAAATTTATTTGTACAAAATAAGAACGCTATATAATTCGAAACATTGGGTTATGTCTTGTGCATTTTCAAATATACGGTGCAAAAGTTACTGAAAACATCTACATTTGCATGCATTAATTTGGTATTGAAAACCTAAAGATATATATCCTTTTCAGTTGATACATACCAATATAGTAGTTTCCTTGGAAACCATCCTTATGTAATAGCTGCTTTGAATGAAGGCACAAATTTATTGAATTATTTGAAGATATTATTGTCGCGGATCCAAATCGAAAATGTTTATGACCGCAGAACTGTTTTGATTTTCCATCAGGTGTAAATATTACGCTAACACAAGAGTTGTCAGCAGAAAATCTTGAATAAACAACGTGAAGAATCAATCTAGAGCCAGTAGGTGTATTTATGTCAGAACAACAAAAGCGTTCATCCATAAAAGGTATAAGAAAATTGAAAGATTTAATTATTCCAAAGCTTCCGTAGGATTGTACGTCAAAACACTTAATTGTATTAACATATGTCCATTTGAAATGGAATCCATGTCCTAAAACACTTTCGTCAGTTCGGAATGTAATCGATGCATTATTCGATAAAGAAATATAATATTTCGGCACATTAAATGTCATGTTCCCACACAAGGAGGTACCATTTTTGAAACCTCTAAATATCAGAGCATCATATAAACAATCTGATTGAAATTCTAAATCTAAAAATGTTATTTCTAATACAATACGGTGATATTTTGGAGCTTGAAATTGGAACTGTCTAATACGATTGTTGTCATAATGAATACTATCATCTTTTATCATTGATATTTCACCAGTATATGACGTACAATTAACAGTTGTTTCCTGAATTTCTGAAATGGAAAAGGTATTAACTTTATATTATTCAGATGAATACCATTCATCTTTTTTCTTAAATATGGCAGTGCTACAGGTTTTCCAAATCTACTGGATTCTATAGTAGTTTCCATCATCTGATAAGAGCCGCTTTCAATAAAAGCGCAAATTTGCTGAATTGTTAGAAGACATTATTGTCTCGAAGTCCAATCTAAAATTATATGACCGAAAAATTGTTTTGATCCACATAATTTGGGTGGTTTTCACATTGCCAATCATACAACATCTAAATTTGCATTCTATTGTACCTTTATATTATTATATTTTATTAAGGCGGTAGTTGTTTATCAATGTTCAAATTTCTTAAATCGAAGAAACCGATACAATAACATGTCTTAAAACCCAATCACAAATCTCATTTAGAACCAGCTAGCAAAACCGCCCAGGATGCTACCGTTGTTTCCCGTAAGTCATATATCGAGTTGAAAGGACAAGGGCTTGTCTATTAGTTGTTTTAACAACGGTTTACTATTTGATAATACGTTCTTATAGACTTACTTGTTTCAGGAATGTACAAAACACAGACAAATGATGCTTTTATTTCACATTGAACACTTTGAACAGATATAATTGGTTGACCTTTTCCTCTTGCTGGGATTAATTGCATCACTTCACACGTGTCACCTACAAATAGAGACAGAAATAAATATTTACTTCAGTATGTGTTTAATCAAATGTATAATTTAATTTTAACGTAGAAACTAGACAATGAGTAACTGTTTAATTCATACGTCACATATGAAACTCTGTTTAGCAGTAATTTGATTATAACAAGATCTGGTGTTATAATACTTCTTGATTTTAAAAGTTGTAACTTTTCTTCATAATCATGACACTTAACGAAATTATCAAAATTCCTTTAGGTAATAAAATAATCATATTGTTTGCAGCAACTTTCAAACATGAATAGTCTCTATATGTTAACCAAATCATCTTAAATTGTGGACATAAGGTTACCACATGTATTTTTAAATTAACCAGAAGGAACATATCAAATGAAGAACATTGTTTACAAGTCTTTCAAACGGGACTTAATCTTAAAGTATTACAGCTTCATTTGTATATGCGAGGCTTTAACAATATAATGATTCATATTTAAACGCATTACTTAAACGCTCAAAGAGAGCTGAAAATTGATATTTCAATAGATTTTGGCAATTCAGGATGTCCTCATAACAAAAACCAAAATTTTATTGGAGCGTAAGTTATATGGCAGATTTCATTTTGGTTAAATTTGTCATGTAGAAAAAGAACATTCGGATCGAATGGAAATGTGCAAACTTAAGAATAAATATTTTAAGTATATGATATAAACTCTTTAATCTTCCGTTCAAATACAGGGAAAATTGGCACTACATATTTAAAAACGGTACATTTTGAGGATATTTTTCAATAGGTAATTGGCTTTCCAGGTGGTAAAAACGTATCTTTTTTTACACATGCATATTTATAAAAGAAGCATGTCACATATCAAACGTGTTACCCTTGATTAAACATAAACTAGGTATGATTTTACTAAACAACATTTCAAAATTCAAAAATAACACTTTATTGATTTGGTGCGTTTTCCTTTAACCGTCAACAGCAACGATAAAACAAACAAAAAAGGCCAATGATTTGTCAATATACTCGGTGAGCTATATGTCTAAAAGAGGCCCATAAAGAACTACCTAAGATCAATTTTGCCTAAGGGATCTTGAACCTTAGTATTTTATAATTTCTAAAACAAATAATGAAATCTATATTCGATTATTCGAGCATATCGTATCGAAAGGAAACATTGATTACTGTTATAATGATACCCTGTGGGACTAAACAGTCTACAAGCAGCGGCATGGACTGAAATCAATAGTTTTAAATTCAGTACATGAGCATTGAAATTGAATATGTTGTGAGTTTACAACACAATAAGATGCTGAAACTTATTTGCAGTTATTACCTCGTCAAAACGAAATATATCGGACATCTAAAAGAACAAATATAATTGATTTACCTTTGTATTTTGTATCAGTATTTGACCATATGAAAATAGATTCATTTGCATTTACAGCTTGGTCTGGAACGAAAAATATAAAGTTAGTAAACTATTGAGTTATATTACCAATCAATTACAAAAGTGATTGCCATGTTAAAAAGTGTATTTACTAATTAGCCTTATAGATGACGACGGCTGTGTTCCATAAAAAGTAATTTTTTTCTAATAACCCTAGGAGACGACCATGGTTGTGTTCCATAAAAAAGTTTTATTTTTTGTTACCCTCACAGACGACCACGGATATGTTTCATTTGTCGTAACAACAATGCCGTCATCTGTTCCTTGTCATTACATATATATAGCGAATGATCATAATTTACTTGTAATAAGGAACACGACAGTTAACCCTCTTTATCTGGGTTCGTTTTGCTCACTCTTTAGTTTTTCTATGTAATTCTTTAGACTTTCTTTTGCCTTCATATTTTAGTCTGTCGGTCTTGCAATTTGTTGTCTTTTCCTCACCGACTTAAAGTTTTAGAGATTGTTTTTTTGTTTTTCAAGTTTGGTTTTCTTGAAAGTTTTATTAATAATTCGTTCAACTTACTTTTAGACATAACAGCAAAGTTGCTGATCAGATATGCAGCCGTAACAGACAAATTTAACAAAAGATTTGCTTCTAGACCTGCACACCAGTCGATGGCCTTCTGATAAGTAACCTCTGTGAGAAACGGCTGTATACATGTTGCTGGTCTTAGATAAAATGCTGTACTATTTAAAGTATCACAATTGTCATCTTTATGAAATATAAAAAAACAAGATGTTCTGTGCTGTCGTTAATGGACGATGTTCGTTGTTATTCCGTGGTTTACATGTTGTAACGACTATTATATTATTTATTTGTGCGTTTCTCTGTGCTGAGTGTTATTGCGTTTGTTTGTGTTGTATTTCTGTCACGAAGTGTTGTCTGTTGTCATTTTAGCGATATTTTTTAACATTGCCATATAAGCGGGAGGTTTGGCTAGACATAAAACCAGGTTCAACCCACCATTGTTTCTTAAAATGTCCTGTACCAAGTCATGAATATGGCAGTTGTTATCAAATAGTTCGTTTCTATGTATGTTGGAGTTTGTTTTTGTTGCACTTCAGTGTTTCTGTTGTTCCGTTGTTTTCCTCTTATAGTTGATGTGTTTCCCTCGGTTTTAGTTTGTAACCCGGATTTGTTTTCTCTCAATCGATTTATGACTTTTGAACAGCGATATACTACTGTTGCCTTTATTTATACAATACAAAACGATTGCCTAAAAATTGTGAAAGAATTAAACAAATTTCGTTTTAGAGGATTCGTGTTATATTAATAAGATGCTTGTCTAATAAATATTTCTACAATAATCAGCAACGAAAAAGTTAAAATGTCTTCTTAATTGTATGAAGTTTCCGAATTCAAATGATAATTTATTAAATTTATATAAAAATTAGCAAATCATAACTATTGCATTTCATTATTGATTTAATAACAGTAAAATCTGAGTAATTAAATTTTCTTTCGTAAATCTTAACTATAAACCATCCTTATACATGACTTTATTGTCCTCTGTTAACGTATACGTATTAGATGTACAACCGAAGTCGTTAGTCCGTTTGCATATATCTTATTAACACAAAGATATAATTGCTATTGCAAAATGATAGGTTGCAATAATTTAACGAGTTTTCATGAATTCTGAGCTTTTTCAAGAATAAAGCATAATAGATGAAAGATATCATTGCATTCAATGACACCATTGTGTAATTGTAAATATATACGGATACGGTTTGACCAGACGTGTTCGTTGTCATCAATAAATCTGTACTGATAAATGACTGAACTGGGATGCATGTTTATGTTTAAAAAAAAAAGAGGTATGAGATACTGAGGGGACATAAAAGACTCATAAGTTGAAGATAAACTGACCACGTCATGAGAAAAACGAAATACTACGAAAAGACAAACAAGTCAAACAAAATAAAATGTAAACTATTAAGACTTAACTTCTGTACAGTTGACCATAAAACAATCAGAATCATATCAATTTACATATGAGAAATTCTCAACTGTTTAAAAACATATCATATTTACAAAACAAGCGAACAAGGTGTAGTTTAATATGATATTTTTTTATTCAGCATGTCGGGATTGAATACTATAAAAAAAAGTTTGCATTTGTACATAAAGCTGGAAATCTGTAATTATCAATGAGTAATACCTGATATACTCATGAGGACGCAAGCCCGATTGTCAATATAAAGCTTACACCATGATAGTATTATTAATTCAAAATAATTGCTTTTAATAATTAAAGAGGTAAACGGTGATTTCAATCTAATTTTGATATAAAGCTCAATAAATGCAGGATATTCAGTTAAATTTGATAGAATCCCGGTGTAAGTTCCAATGTTTGGATATGGCGTCTTTAAAATCATTAAATAGTATTTTAATACAAAACTATGTACTTATGTGCATACTGTGGAAGAATATCAAGAACATGTGTTAAATATCATCTCATTTATAGTTAATAAAACAGTGAAATAACAGTAAACTTTTTGATAGAAATACTTGTTCTATCTTATTTACAAAAAGACTGTTTTGCTTGAAATATTATAGGTTAGGATATGAAAATAAGACTTTATATCACCAGGGAAAAGATGAAAATATTATTTGTAACTTCTTTGTAAATTTTTTTATGGGTTCACGCATCTGTGTTCGATCAATGCTATTGACATCGGACATATAAGAGAACCAATGTATTATATACTTACATTAAAATATGATCATTTATAACACAAAGTCGAATTTTTTTTTTTTTTTAAATACAGTAAACAGTGATCAGACCATTAAGATTTCCTTCCTATTAATTTATCAAAACACATTGAAAAAAGTGTTATCACTAGTTTGGAAAATTTTTAATCACTGAAGACGACAAAAAATCCTTTTATAACTTTTATGCCAACGCATCCCCAATCGCTATATTAATAATGTAGTCATTAATAACAGTAGAAACATGTGATATGTATAATTTGAAAATAATAAAATGTTTCGTCACATACTTTAAACAATTGATAACTTATTGGAAGTATGTCTATAATGAATATCACAGATTTATATTATTTTAAAAAAAATGGCAGAAAAAAAGAATGAAGACAAACAGACAAATACGTGCACAAACCACTTCACAGAAAACTAAAGACTGAGCAACACAAACCCCATCGAAACGTTTGGAACAGACCCACGTATTTAATTTTTGATAAATAATTCATGGAGACTTTTTACAGAAGAATATTCACGTCAAGGCAATGAATACTGTTCTGTAGACGGCATATCAAAGTATATTAGCTTAGCATTTTTAAAGATTTTATTCAAATCATGTTTTTTTCATTTATGGTATCATAATTTGGCAAATTACCACAATCCTGAAATTAAATAAAACAATTCAAGACAAAAGATTTCGTTCGGATAAGATAAGTTAGGTGTTTCTCATAGCATATTTAAAAAGTAAAATAACAAAAATACCGAACTCCAAGGAAAAACCAAAACGGATAATCCTTTATCAAATGGTAAAATCAAAAGCTCAAACACTTGGTACAGGCATTTCCTTATGTAAAAATGGTATATGTATTTCTATTTATATCCATCTGATGAGTTAAGCCTTTGTAAACTGATTTGTACAGTTTGTTCTTATGTTGTACCGTTACACCACTTTCCCAGGTTAGGGGAGGGTTGAGCGCTCACAAACATGTTTAACCCCGCCACATTCTTTATGTATCTGTCCCAAGTCCGGAGCCTGTAGTTCAGTGGTTGTAGTTGGTTCATGTCTGTCATATTTTTCTTTCGTAAATGCTTTTGTTATAAATTAGGCCGTTGGTTTTTCTCAAATTGTTTCATATTTTTCATGTTGGGGCCTTTTATAGCCGATTATACGGTATGGGTTTTTCTCATTGTTGAAGGCCGTACAGTTGCTTATTATTGCTTACATCCACTTCATTTGAACTTTGGTGGATAGTTGTCTCATTGGCAATCATACCACATCTCCTAATTTTTATAGCACAATAACACAATGGCGGGATTTATAAGTACCAAGCCACGCCAAAAGTATATTACCAAAAAAGGACTAATCAGTAAAGGTGAAAAATATACAAAGACAAATAAAAGGTTATTAAGATGATAAAAAACGTCAGTACCTATAATCTATACTTCAAGACCATTATGTATTATTTGTGAAGTTGATAAAAAGTAAAATAACAAAAGTACCGAACTCATGGAAAATTTAAAACGGAAATTTCCTTATCAAATGGCAAAATCAAAAGCTCAAACACATCAAACGAATGACAAACAACTGTAATATTCCTCACTTGGTACAGGCATTTCCTTATGTAGAAAAACCTGGTTTTATAGCTAGCTAAACCTCTCAATTTCCAATATGCAAAGCATGTCATAATTGATTCAAAACTTCAGTTTCATTTGATTTCTGATTTATGTAAGGCACGATTAATTTAAGTTTCACTGTATTTCGAATTATCATGAATAGTATACAGCAGGAAAATACCATAGAATATCGGAAATTGCTACGTTGTTGCGTCTTTTATGATTGTATTACAAAACTTAACTTAACAAACACTTGACATTTATTCCAATTGGTTGCTAGTTTATAAATACAGAAATATATATATATATATAGATACTCAACATATTTCTGTTTCATTGATGTTCATAAAGTACGAACTTAATGTCATGCATTTTATTTTATTAATGAAACGTGAAACGAATATAAATATTGACCCACGAAATTAGTTGTTATTGTTTATCATTGATAACCCTGACATTATGTTTTATACCCTTTTTAAGACTTAACGAACTCAATATACTTACACTTGTAAATTGAAGCTGTCAGAGAGAATCCGGACCTATATATAGATTTATCTGATCTAAAGCGTAGGACTGCTATGTTTGTTTCAGATACCCAAGTCATTTTCTTTAATTTCGTATTCCAGTCACCACATGTTGTTTTATGTTCTTCAGTCCTGACAACAGAGGCTAATGTCAAATTATCGTAGATGCATCTGCAAAAGGATTTATTTTAAACCTGTAATCATGTATTTTATTAGTTTATTACCATTAAGTGCAACTGAATTGTTTTTATTTTCCATATATAATATTTTATATTTAATCAAATGTATGGAATGGGAAAGGATTATATGAAATCAAATAGAGCTTAACTTCTAAATTAAGGCTGATTTTTGTTGTCTCAATCTCATTCCTTATTTAACTGTGTAGAAAGCGGCTGCAAATGTAAAAAGAATGACAGAAATGTAAAGAAAAATAATCATTAAAGAATGGTTCGTCAAGATAGATACCCGATAAAGTAAATAAATCATAAAGTTCCAAAATACATTACACTGAATGAAACTGGTCTGCATTATACGCAAGTCGACAAAGTAAAAATATTTTTTATCATGTTAAGTTTATTATGAAAAAAATCAAAACCTTTCTTGGTTTTGCATGATTAAATATTTTGATCTTTTGCATGATTAGATACTTAGATCTTTTGCATATTACTAATGCTGCGAATTTCAGAATAGAGAGTATGGTTTGCACTTTTCATTGAGAAGCTAATTTTAAAATCAAATATAAAACGAAAATCTCTTTTTCCACTGATATAATAAAATAGAATAGATTTTGTTTATTTGGAAAGTATTTCTTTGAGTATTTTGAGGACCACGATGTGAACAAGTGTGGGGACACTTAATCAATTTATGTATCACTTAGAACCCTATCTTTGGTAGAAATTCCCAACGAACATAAAACAAAGATATGAGTGTCAAGGGTTCATTTTGATTTACCATTTACCTGGAAAATCTAAGTCAAAGTATCTTTACGTTGATTATTGGTCGTTATGATTTGGTCCGTTGATACGTGGCTTTTCTTAAGTACGTATGGATACTTACGAGTCTGACGATTCTATATTGAAGTGGTTAAACCTAACAGCAACATTGTAACCAGTAGGTACTATAATGGTATAATTGATATCGGATAGCATAGGATAATGTTCAGGAAACCCAGGGCTTTCTATCATGACATCTGGTTGACTTGAATTCAGATAGAACATGTAACTCTGTACTGTAGGTGGAAGAACAGTTGACTGGTTATCTACAATTAAACATACTGTGGTAGTAGACATATTATCTATACTAAATGAATCTTCAAAATTGCAACTTAAAACTAGTATATCTTCAATAGTTTTTGCTCAATTAATAGAAACGAAAGGATATGGAGTATCCATCCACTTAATCAGTATATGCACAGCACAACATACAAAAGGCAAAACAACAGCGCTTTTATCGCTGTTCTTCATCTCAAAGTCACAGTGAAGCCTTCAACGCGGAGCAAAAAAGGCTTTCTCACTTTTGTCAATAATGATTGTGCTGGAGGAAAGTAACACAATGCTTTAAGTTTCTTCATCGAGGTTAAAGGTCATTTCGGATTATTGCCGTGTCCAATTTTCTATGTAATATGGTACAATGTACTATCAAAGCAAGTTAACAATTATATAAATTCTTCAAATAAAGATCAGCCTGTTAATTAATTTACCAAAGCTTTTAAACAACCTTTCTCAGTATATCAAAGGTGTTGATGCTACATAAAAGTTTTCTGTTTCTATTAAGTTCAACTAGTTCACGAACTAAAGCCGAGTACTATAGTAAGCAAAATATTGAATCGAAGTTTTTGCATTTAAAAATGATTATAGTTTGGGGAAAAAACAAGAATAAGTGGGAAATGAAGATCACCACTAGAAATCTGAAGGCCAACAGAAAAAACAGAAAGACAACTCATGATATTATTCATTTGCTAGAATACGGATTTTCCCCCAAGGTATAATATGCCCGGCACTAGCATTTTTATTTCAAACATCTGATAAATGACCAGTTCACACATTTACTTATTTTTTTTTTTTACTTTGGTTTGTAACTAACTTAGGAATATCTGACTTTAGAAATCTTTAGCTCGGACTGCATTTTTATGTTGCTCCAATATTTTGTACTTTTTTATTTTTCTTTCCATTTCTAAACTTTACACTAGTAATTTTCTGGGCCCTTTATAACTTACTGTTCGGTGTAAGCCAAGGCTCCGTACTTTGACCTATAATGGTTTACTTTTATAAATTTTGACTTGGATGGAGAGTTGTCTCATTGGCACTACTTTAACTATTTAGAGAACATGTTTCGGAATATGGTTGATCAATAATAGCAGTACATATTTGATGAAAAAAATCAAACAAATACATACCGTCGAATTTGCTTATTTGACAAATATACGGATTCCTGGTGGTACATTTTCTGTCATTCCAAAAGAAATGTTCAGCTACTGATGTACCTTTATTTAAGTTATGGAATGTACGTCGAATTTCAACACAGTCCTCCTCTGAAAAGCCATCATCACTTGGTTGTTTATTTAAGTGTCCGTTTCCATGCCAACCCGGAAACCAATCTGTAAAAAATGGGTATAGGAATCATTTTGTTATGAAACTTATTGTCAATTAGGTAAAATATTTACTATGCTAGATCCTAAAACTAACTGAAACGGTAAAAATTTCACAAAAAGGGCGAATAATGAAAAAAAATAGGTTTGATTACAAAACACCATTGTCCAATCCACAAATACCATACTATATTTCTATTCTCTAGTGGCAAACATCTTACATACATTTGTAATTTCCAGATCATGTGTAGAACTGTTGGTTTGTATTAACATCACAAAGTGGTTGAGGATGTTTATTTGTAAAAGCTCACAATCGACATGTTTTGTTGGTCTTAATTATAAGCCTGGTATCTTTTAATGATTTTTTACAATCACTGTTTCGATGTCATTGCTGGTGGAAGTCTTGTCTCCGAGGGTATCAACAATCCAATAGTCAGCACTTCTGTGTTGACATGAAGTATCATTGATACTTATTAATAGTATTTCAAAAAATTTGGAAATCTTCTAAGCACTTAGGTTTTTCTACTTTGTTGTATTTTGGCACAATTATTTTTTTCATTTTTGGTCCAACGCTCTTCAATTTCCTACTTGATTTGACCTTTAAGCTATTTTGATTTGAGCGTCACCGACTAGTCTTTTGTAAGCGTAATGCGCGTCTGTCGTGCCAATTTCCTTCTTTTTCTAAACCTTTTTAGCAAAATATTATATAAATCTAAAGACTGTGTCGTATGACCGACTTCGAAATTTTGACTGAGTGTGTCTTTGCATGGCGGGTGATGTGACAATAGCAGGAGACGCTTACCATGTCGACGTATTCGGTATCACTCTATTTTGTAGTTCATGCGATTCTTTCGGAGTTTGATTTTCTATCATGATATTTATTGTAAAAAAAATTAAGAGATTTGAACATCAGTAAACTTGTGTTACTTCTAATTTTACACAAATACAGTAAAAACATTCTCCATTCAGTCTTTTAAAAAAAACATCAAAGATAACAGTCTTATAATTGAGCATGCCAGAATTTTAACAAGAGAATTGTTAGTGATGTTCGAATAAAAAAAGTAAAAGTTAAAAAGGCCAAATCATGTACGAAGTTTGGGAGTTACAAGTTACTTTAAATTGTCAAAATTCATTTACATCGTACATATTTGGTTTACTAAGATTATGATTTCAGCGCCAAAAATACGTGTTTCAGTGTTAACCTATCCATCTTTTGACCAAATTACTTTTTCATAAACTTTATAAAGAAAATAGTAGTTTTTTAGATGCTCGTCCAATCATAAAGTTACAAAAAAAGTCGCCTTTTAGTTTCAAAAAAGATCTTTGAAAATTGATCTTGACTATCAGAATCAAAGATTGTTTCTGCTTGCAATACTTTCATCCATATGATGCCAAATGAAGAGCATTTACAGATGAACTTTAATTTATCATTTCTGCCAAGTTTTTTAGTTTAAGACAAGGAGATAAAAATGTAGTTTTGCATAGGTGTTTCACGTGAACTGTGTGCAACCAATGCAATCTTGGTTGCCACCGATCAACATTTGCAATGGACCGTTTGTAAACAATCATCCATATATCATAAGTGCAACGTTTGGTTGAAATTTGATAACCTGTTTTAGACAGGAGTATTAACCTCACACAAAAACTTCTCTAACAGAGTAATGAGGAAGAACGACTGAAATCGACACTACATAAGTTTTACGGTCACCATCAAGAATTGGTTCTCCACTCAGAAGCAACATGTTTTCCCGGTATTAAATCTTTAGATATTCAAGTATAGTCGTCTAATCTGTAATTTTACCCATTGTGTCCTATTATTCCCGATTGTGATATCTTAACTGAGTTGGAACAGGTATGGTGGATGATGCATGCAAAGCAGGAGACGCTTACCCTATCGACGCATCCGGTCTCACTCCTTTTGAAGTTCATGCGATTCCCTCAGTTTTTGTTTGTTACCTTGGTGTGTCTCTTCCTACTCGATTTACGAGATTTGGTCACATAGATAAACTACAGTCGCCTTTATTCATTTAAATCCATTACATACCATCGACCATAATAAAACTTACATTCGAATTCAACAGGGTGTCCATTTACCCATTGAAAATGATTTTCAGTAAGGGCATCATTGGCACCAATCCAAAATGCATCCAATTCTAATGTACAGTTTTGGCTGAAAGTATAATAAACTTCTTATAATATTTAAATCCAAATAATAACAGTGTTTTATTTAGGTTACTCCGGCAACAATTGATTGTTGACAAAAAGCATATGTTTTTCTTCTCAACAAATAGAATTATTTCAATTTGTATCTTCATGTCTATGATACTCTGTTTATGAACTAGGACTAAGTATAAATTTACTGTTTCAATAGAGCAATTCGATAAGTACATTAAATGGGGATTGTAAATTTTCACGTGCCGCAACCACAGTAATACATCGTCTCCGTCTAAATATTGTTTAAATGAATAGTAATTGAGCTGACAATTCCCCAGGAGATGAACAATTTAATTCAGTCTTTTTTTAAAAAAGGTTTACGTTTATCCATTTAATGAATCATATGTTATCTTTCAATCCTGTTAATACAGAAAAACTGTAGCAGTAAAAATTGGGTGGAATTAAATCATGATGCAAATTTTTCATTTTTTAACAGCGGGTTCTTTTCTGCTACTGTACATGCGTATGCGTTTACTACTTTAAACCATGCTATTTGTAATATCCCTGATCGAGAAAAATATATTTTTGGTGTTTGGAACATTTGCATGCTTAAAACAGTGCAATTTTCATTACACAGTGATAAAGCTTTAGACAATAGTTTCTCCGGAATTAGGCATGTGTGTGCCTACTTGAAATTGCAAATTTCAAAAGTGATATCATTTCAATAAACATAAAAATAATTAATGTTGTACTCATGAATATTTGTTCAAATGAAAATATCTCCATATCAATAGTATATTATTTGTGTATCGATCATATAAAAGCATAGCTGGTTAAAAGCTCTTAGTCTTAGGTATTTTATTTCAAAATGCTGATTGATGATAGATCTGACCTGTCGTTTCCCAATTATTTTCACATTTACCTTTTATGTCTGTTTGGGTTGCTCACCCAATTTTGTCAATCTAACGGAACTATAAACTACCTGTTATACTAGTGGGAGGTTTATCTAGCTAGAAAACCAGGTTTCTTTGGAAAAAGCCTGTACCAAGTCAGGAATATGGCAGTTGTTTTTCACTTGTTCCGTTGATTTATAGCGTTTGATTGTGTTTTCATGGACTTTCCCTTTGGAGTTCGGTTTTTTTTCTATACTTTTTTTCCATCATGTTTAGAACTCGAATCAAGTATCAATTGCAGTTGCCCTTTCTCTGTAGATATGCCATTTGAAAAAATTCCCTAGGGTTTTAAATGTCATTTTTATATCATTAATGGTCATCTCACAAAGGATTCATCTTTTGCATGTTTATATTTGTTACTGTGAATATCCTGATTATAACTAATTAACTACTCCTACAAAAAAAATATCATGCAAAAGCCAAGGTTATCAAATATATAATATGAAGTCAGCACATTACTGGAGGTTATATATTGCAATACTAGTACATGTCATTTTCTAAAAAGATATATATCAGATTACTGTTTTTTTTCTATTCAAAGAGGTTAAAAACGTGAATACATTTGAACCATCGTTTCAGCATCTGAAGGAGTTAAAGTCATTTCATTGTTCGTTGAAAAGAAATTGTATCATGTATTTGATTTAATTTTCATTGTTTAGTATTCTATTAAGAAAGCAAAAAGTTTAGTGTTTGTTTCTTTTAGATATTTCTCAGAATTATTAATATTATATAATGGAGATTCGATTATAAAAACACGACAAACTGAAAAGATTATTTATTTGTTACACTTCCGTTCCGAGAAGTAATTCTCAAGCTCATGTTGTATATGTTACGGTCCAAAAAATATCATGCACCTAGTTCCCATATAATAAACCTGTCCAATTGTCTGTTTTTGAAGAAAAAAACATAATCAATATCCGATTATATATCTTTTCCTGTATTTATGAACTATAATTATTGGCAAAAATGTAGTTAGTCCCTGCTTCAACAAAACGTAGACTCATTCATTCGCTAAACATCTTAAGCTAACGATTACATGAACTGCAATTCTATTTAGTTTATGTTCGAATCTTCTACTATAATTTTATGTTTTCCTTTACAACATTGTGTTTAATTAGTTTAAGGGAGGTTTGAATAACTGAGAGAAAAAAAAAACACTTTACCCTGCACTCTTTGTTCATGTAAAATTACGTAATATAGCCATTATATTTTTTGTCTTTCGTTTGACGGGCGGGAAATACATGCAACGTATTGAAGTTCATAAAGCTCCGTCATTGTCTTTCGCCAATGTTGCACATTCCTGAGCGTACAATATTTTTTTTGTTAATTTTTATTATCATTTGGTCATGGTATATGATGATATCCAATTTGTACATTTGGTCTAAAGCTATATACTATTCTATATTATCTTGAAATATGTTCAGCAAGTTCACTTTGTACAATATGTACATGAGCATTGTTCAAATTATTATCAGATCATTTTTCCAAAGTCATGTTCATTTTTATTGTGAAAGTGAAAAAAAAATGTGAAAAGATAATAAGTGACCTATCAAAACCGCTCGTTCAATAAACAGACAACCCAATTGCATTATAGAAAAACGATAAGACAAATAACTATCCACCAAAACACAGAAAAACTAAAGATGAGCAAAACGAACTCCAACAAAAACCGTGGATGAATTAAGGTGTCAAGTAAGGTCAGCATAACATTACTGCTTTACATGTGTGTTATTTACTGTAGGTAATGAATTATAGTTTAAGCAGATCGAAGTGTACCTACATCATTAACGTAAGCTATATCATCGATTAAAGGATACTTAGAAACTTTATAATAGATTTTTTTATGTAAAAGAAAATATAAAAAGAAATTGATGCCCCCTTTTTCGTTCATAGTTGTATAATCAGAATGCATATACCATAAAAATAAAATACCTTTGAATTAAATATTTTTCTAACATCAATTGGGTGTCAATATCAGTGATAGCTACAAGAAACCCCCCTTTATGTTGGCAGTCATTTTGGCTTTCTTCCCACGTCAAAGGATTTCGCACGATTTCAAACGAATATTCTTCTCGCTCAATCCATGTTGAACTACATTGAGGTAATGTAATATTTTGCAGGATGTTTTGCCATGTGGCAAAAAATCCAGATCGAGTAATACGATAGTTCGTGACGAACCGTAGCATAATCCTGTTTGTTTCTGTTCGAAAGGATAGAGTATTTTCTTGTCCTTTCCACTGACCACATATTCGTTCTACTTTATCATCTATGTGTATTTCCAAATAGTCTAAATTGCATAGATCTCCTCTGAGAAAGGCATCATTGACGGCTTCTGTATAGAACGATTCAAAAACAAGTTCTAAAAGACCATTTGTTTCGGATAATTGAATAATGTAAAAACAGTCCTGGTTGTTAGAGTACTTATTCGGATAGTTATCACTATAAACATTACCTGAAGTGTTTACAAAAGTTTTGTTTGAGCAAGGAACATGACTGGAATATTCAATCCAAAATCCTCTACCTTCGTGTAAATAGTCTGAAGTGAAAATTATATCCACTTCTGAAAGTGAAGACTGATAAAACAATTGTTCAGACGAATATTCGGATGAATTACCACACAATGTATCAGTACTATTTCCTGAAATAATTTGTAAACTGTCATTTAAGCACTCTCCGTTTGTTTTCATTGGAATATCCATGTCTTTTATAGTCAATTGAATACGAAACTCGGATGGTAAACGGATACTAATTACACAATACATCCATGGAAAGTAAAGCTTTGGGTAGGCAATACTGGTAATGTTGTCGTTGGTAAGTGTCAACGTTTTGTTGCATTCTGTTGGAATAAACAGTAAAACATAGTCATATTAGGCATATGATTAAAGTATGAACAGCTTATTCACACCAATTTACTAAGTAACAAATAAGATTTAAGTAATTTTTAGTGTTCGTTAAGCGTCTGTGTCCATATTTTTGTCATTTACTATATTTCTTTTTTTTTGTCATGGCATTGTTACTTTGTTTTCGGCTTATGAACTGTTTGAATACCACTTTGGTATCTTTTGCCTCTCTTTTTCAATAGCTTATTTTAAAAAAATCTTTAATGTAACTAGTATATAGGTTATGTTCGTATGTATTATAATCTCTTAACTGAGAGTTGAAGAAAAATATCAATCAAAGACTTGGGATTTGAACACTATCCCTTATAACAAACATGTATAATATTTTATTTTAAATGAAAGCAAAGCATTGGAAAAATAATACAATAATCCATTATTTCATACCATGTTTGTCTACAGTGAAGTAAATAAATCGGAATCCACTGTGTCCAATTTTATTGTCAGTAGAAAATGTTACAGCTAGTTTACCCGTAACTGATACGAAGTACAATGTTTCTAATTCTTCGGTCTGGAAAGCACCACATAAAATGTCGGTTTTATCCGATATCACAGATACAGCATCAAAACACATGCCTCTATACGACGATTCTAAATTGAAAGACTGAAACTGGAAATAAAATAAAAATGCACGATTTTTAAGTTTATCAATGGTTCTTTATACGAGAGGGACTTTCTCCGCTACAATCTCATGAAATGGCGTTAGCCTTGAGAAAAATGTAACGAGAAACATCCTCGTTTTTTTAATATTTGTATCTAGTTTATCGCTGTTTTCCTATGTAACAGCAATGACGCAGTCTTCTTTTCTTTCTCTTTCTACTCAACGGAGTAAAAATCCATATCCCTCGAGAAGTGTTAGAAGGAAAATTTGAGGAAATAGCTATAAGTTGTTTTAGTTGCTGTTAGGATAAGCATTTACGGTAACAATCAAGACAGTATGACGTTTTTATATTCATGAACCATACATATTTCATTAAAAACATTTTTTTTTAAAGCAAGTTTAACAATAATACCCAAACATTTATGGAATCCGAACAAACTCGGTGTTGAGTGAGAATAAATTCAGATAGATTGATATTATTTTTATGTTGTTTTAAACGTTTTTTTTTTGTTTTTGTTGAGCTCTATTCTACAGGGAAAATTATCAAAAGACAATAGTCTACTAAACACGTCGCAGAAAACTAAAGATTACGGAAAAAGAACACCACAATCAAAATATGGTAAAATAAGCTGCTTCGGAAGGGTAGCTGTTCCGTTGGTATCCGTTGCTCACAACAGTTGGAAATCAGTCGATAAGGCAAATTCTTGTATGTTATACACGAAAAAATGAGGAGGGTGGTCATCTATGACAAAGATTAAATTCTATAATTGTAAACTATTTGTTAATCATGATACATTTTATATAAAATCATTTTTAGATGACTCTTCATACATGACAAGATGTGTATTCCAGAATATTTTCTTCGCATTGAATTATTTTTTTTACATTTGATTACATTCTGGGAAAAAAACATTATATAAAAACGTTCTTTCTTTGATCTAGCACTATCAGATTGCATGGATTACCAAGAGATCAGAAACAAAATAACTTACTAATGAACTAACATGAAGAAATTGATTTCATAAAACGCTATGCAATCACCTTTGGTTCTAAAGAGACTAGAATACAGTTATATTTAATGTGGTTAACGCACCTGCAAGTGAATAAATGTGTGAATTGAAAAAATAATGTAGGTAGCGTTGTAATTGTCTGGATATAGCTTGGGAAACCCCGGACTCTCGATGTCTCCTCGTATATCAGCCAGGAAGTAATTTCGTCTTCCTGAGAAAAAAAAATATTTACAATAATGAAATATTCTTTAGTAAAGTGAAACATACATAATAAGTCACTCGATCAAAAGTTAAATAATAATCAAAACTGTATTGCATTTCAAATCAGATGAAAACATAATAGAGTTTCTAGATTGCCATCCCATAGGGTTTGTAATTTTAAATTATTATACTGTCAACAAAGTGTATTACTACGCCTTACTAGATGAATGAGTATTAACTTCATTAATTATTGTTCGTATTTACTGAGCCAAACCCTAAACGGAAACGATAGATATTGGTAAATAAAAGAAACACCAATAACGATTCATTAAATTTGACAGAACACATAGAATTGGTTTGATTGTTCTAGTTCACAGTTCGCAGAAAGACCTGCCATTCAACCAAGATAAATTATTCTAATTCTGACATCATCTTTCTTTGGTCTTACTCATAATGCTATGTGCGTATCTGAGAAGCAACAAATACCAGATTATAGTCTATGGTTGGCACGAAAGGGGAGTCGAACGACCCCCCCCCCCCCCCCCAACCCAACCCAATCGAGGAGAGAATGAATGTTTCCATACCACGGAGGCGGTATAACAATCATACTTCGTCTTATAGTCGAAAATTCCGCATGTCCTTTAGCTCATATACACAATAAAATTCATGAAATAGTAAAATAATTAGGCTTGACATAACAGTTAGTACTGAGGTTAAAAAAACCAGTAGAGACCAAATATTAGATTTAGATAATGAATGTATAAAACTAGATTATATTAACTACTTTCAACTTTGTAAATAAGCTTCTTTTGAATAAACAAAAGATAAATAATGCATTAAAAAAAGAATATTAATGGTTTGTCATGTGATCCAATGAGTAAGCTGAAGGGGGTATTTTGCAAATCAATTGGAAGCGTTACTAGAAATTTAAAGACATCTATCATTCATATACATAGAACAATCGAATTCCAAGCAACTCATTGCTATTTCGGTTCGGTTATTTTTATTAATTATCATTATTTTGATTAATGCTATAGTTTTTAACATAACATGACATTAACTTTAAAGATAAACTCTTTAAAAAGGATCTTAAGATACACTTTTTATGTTGAAATATCAATTTCACATCTGGATTTCAGCGCACGCATTGAATACTTGTTATATCCTTAAATAAAAAATAGAAAACCCGTCTGTATAAACTTGCATATACAACATAAGCCCCACCACTCCCCTGGGATAACATCTCTTGGTGAGCCAAGTTCAACAAAATGACAAATATATATTGGAACTTAACAACACACAGTTTTAAGAGTTTCCTCATTTAAACCAGTGCAATTGAAATAGTGAAGTTAAAATTTCTCCCTTATGGCTGACTCAAATATGAATAACTCGGGTTTCCGCCATAGTGTGGCTGACCATTTAACGTGCAACTAGTATACCAGTCATCGTTTGTTTATATTTATATTTTCAAAAAAGTTTATTTGTTTTGAACTCTTTTGAATCGAAAGACACTGGTGAGTCTGATGTGGAAGAATTGCGCACCTGGCGTACGAAATTATAAGCCTGGTGTCTTCTACAAGGTTATATGAGACGAACAACAGACTTTCTGATGTGTCTAAACTCCTCTCGGTAAAAACTACAATGCAATAGCCATCGAAAATTTTACTCATTAGAATATACTCTGATAATAAAACTTTAAAGCACATAGGGTAAACCAGAATTGTGACAATAACCCTACAGGGCGATACAGATTATGCTTCAGTTTACTTTTTAGACTGTATAATGCATTTAGGTAGATACAGATGTCCAAATTGAGCCAGGAATTGTTTTAAAATTCTGAAGCAGCTGTGTTAATCCCCATGCAGTTCCCTTTGTAATATTATCTGAATTGCTGTCTATCTTTTGGGTTTTTTCATTATGTTGACCAATCCCTTTGTCAGCGACAATTCAATGAATAATCAAGGATTCAGTTTTGGGGTATATTTTTCCAATTTTTGTTTTATTGACCTCATATCCTATTTTTAGCTGGGGGAGGAAAGGGGGGGTTAAATTGAAATTAATAATTACATCATTACCGTCCATGACAGTCTGAAGATTATACAATACAAAAGCATCCAATGCAAATTGGCAGACCGTACGGTGGCCTATAGTTGCTTACATATACCTCATTTGGTATCTGGTGTATAGATGTCTCATTTCTTATTTTTCATAATGAAACAAATAACTACCTGGAATTAATGACTTTTTCAATTTTAAAATAAAGTGTTACGGTATAAAAATAAGACGATGTGGTATGATTGCAAATGAGACAACTATCCACCAGAGTTCAAATGAGGTAGATGTAAGCATTTTTGGTTACTTTATGGCCTTCAACAATGAGGAAACCCCATACCGTATAGTCGGCTATACGAGGCCCCGACATGAAAGATGTGAAACAATTCAAACGAGAAAAATAACGGTCTATTTATAACAATACAATTCACGAAAAAATCAATATGACGGACATGGAGCAACGACAACCACTGAATAACAGGTTCCTGACTTGTGAATACAGAATGTGACGGATTTAAACATGTTTTCGAGTGCTCAACCCTCCCCAAACATGGAATAGTTGTGTAACAACACAACATAAGAACAAACTGTAAAACTCAGTTTCAAATGGCTCAACTCAATATATCGGTACGAATCGTCAGTGTATGTTTTGTGCCCATGCAAATCAAATTATTTGTTTTACAGACGGGATACCATCAAATATAAATGAACCCCGTTAGTCATTGACCAGTCACTGGTATTTAGAACTGAAAACTTATGTTATCGACATAAAAAATGAAAATAACAATTTCAAAGTCACTTCAATGAACAAACAACTTTTAATTAAAAAAGAATGTTTATATACACTTCTTTGAAAATGTAGCTTATTCATCTTCGACTCACTTTAATTATATTTCCCTAGTCTACCAAGTTTAAGTTAATGAGATATTTCTATTAAAGCATACCATTTCGTATACCTGATACATATGCAACATGATTCTGCTTAATGTACGTTATATATCGTTATTATTCTAATCAATATTTAAAATTATTATTCTATTTTTCGTAAAAGATGATATTGACTGCGGGCCTATAAAATAATTGTTTTAGTTCTCTACGTGTCATATAATACTAAACAAATATATTTTTTTCTTGGTTTCCTGATATCGTCGAATGCATTTTCGTAATTTTGATTTTCCCGTTAAAACCCATTTTATCATTGAAGGTATCAAAATTTCTTTGGTGTAATTTTTGAAAGTATAACTCATGCTTGAATACAACATTAAGATTTTATCAACAAAAAATAAACACCAATAAACTGGGTTTTGTTTGCTTTTCGATGTTGTACTCTATGTTACAGCAGTCTTTAAGTTGGAATTTGTTGGTATGCAATGTTTCTCTAATATTTTGCATCTTATACACCAATGTGACATGTATAACAGAATTAAATAAGACGAATAGGCTTAAAATTATAAAATTACAATTTCAGTGATGTATAGTGTCTTAGTTGTTGATTTTTTCCCCCCTGAAGTGCCATCTTTGACCCGGAACTATATTGGTACACCCCATTGTTTGCAGCCGGTAATGTGCGTAGTAATTCGGGTGTTTTAATCCATTTCTATAAAAACTCATCAAAGATACCAGGCTTATAATTTCGTTCGCCAGACGCGGGTTACGTCTACATAATATATTTCCGTGGCGCTAGAATTAAAAGTGTTCAGCTACCAATTTAAGTACAAAGTATTTAACATACAGAATTGCAAAAAAGATGCGAAAAGTCTGACTTAGGCCGTCTTCGTCTGGGATAGAAAAGCCTTCACGTTTAGAATGATTATACAATTAATAAAACAGTAAAGTACAACGAATGACCGTAGCATTTATATTTCTTGTCGATTCAACTACTGGGCTGTAAACCGGAGCGTCCACCAGTAGTGCCATCGACCCAGCGTTTGTAAAAACTTACCAAAGATACCAAGCTTACATCAATCGTATACATCAGACTCATAAGTGGCGCTCTAACCAAAATATAATCAATTACGAATTACAAGGAAAAAGAGTATTTAAAAAACAAAATTATAAAATGTTGTGCCAGAATGCTGCTAAGGCCATCAATGGCTGGGATAGAAAATATGTGTTTAAAATTATTAAAACATTTTATGAACAGTAAATTTACATAGAAAACACTGTAAAAATGATGATTCTTATCAGCACAAAAGTCTGACTACTGGTCTGGTGAAACCCTCAAACTGAAAACAGCTCAAAACATGCATAAAAATCATACCTGAGGCTCTGCACACATTTGCCGAAACCGTGTAGAAAACAGACTCATTGGTCATTAAAATGGCACTGAAAATAAACAAAACAATTGAAAATGTAATCAATTTTGGATCTAAAAAACCATATAATAATATGTAAGGTTGGGACAATAGATAATGCTTTATTTTATAGAAAAACTGTGAAACAAGGCACCTACATTAGTAAAAACTTCGGAATAACAATAGTGTGAACTTGTATACAGGAAGGGTGTCAAATTAAATACAAACGATACAGTTAGCGTCATCACAAACTTTAAACAGCAAATCATAACCGTGCAGCAACACATTATCTTGTACAATGCCCCTATAAACAGCAAATCATAACCGTGCAGCAACACATTATCTTGTACAATGCCCCTTCAAAGAGCAAATCATAACCGTGCAGCAACACATTATCTTGTACAATGCCCCTTTTAACAGCAAAACATAACAGTGCAGCAAGACTTTTTTTTTGTACAATGCCCCTTTAAACAGTAAATCATAACTATGCAGCAACACATCATCTTGTACAATGCCCCTTTAAACAGCAAATCATAACCGTGCAGCAAGACATTATCTTGTACAATGCCCCTTTAAACAGCAAAGCATAACCGTGCAGCAACACTTTATCTTGTACAATGCCCCTTTAAACAGCAAAACATAACCGTGCAGCAACACTTTATCTTGTACAATGCCCCTTTAAACAGCAAATCATAACCGTGCAGCAAGACATTATCTTGTGCAATGCCCCTTTAAACAGCAAACATAACCGTGCAGCAACACATCATCTTGTACAATGCCCCTTTAAACAGCAAATCATAACCGTCCAGCAAGACATTATCTTGTACAATGCCCCTTTAAACAGCAAAGCATAACCGTGCAGCAACACTTTATCTTGTACAATGCCCCTTTAAACAGCAAAACATAACCGTGCAGCAACACTTTATCTTGTACAATGCCCCTTTAAACAGCAAATCATAACCGTGCAGCAACACTTTATCTTGTACAATGCCCCTTTAAACAGCAAATCATAACCGTGCAGCAAGACATTATCTTGTGCAATGCCCCTTTAAACAGCAAAACATTACCGTGCAGCAACATATTATCTTGTATATTGCCCCTTTAAGCAGCAAAAAAACATAACCGTGAAAAGAAATATGTTAAAAGTTTCCCAAGGAATAAAATGAAGACAACACTGTATACATTTGGTGCGTCCGAAGAACTCTTCTGGGTTTGCCTTCTTTAGAACAATACGTTAAATCCCAGAGAAGCGAAAGATGTTTAAATACCCGAAAAAGTCGAGATCTGTATGACCAAAAGGGACAGAAAAAGAATAGCCAAAGTCATGTTGCCTTAGTGAGTTTAAAAATTATTTTTGTTTTTTCATCGGAGAATATAGAATTAAAAAGTTGCAAGAATAGATTGGTACGACAGATGACAATAACACATGTCCAGTGTATACTCAACAATGACAAACAATTATTCTTTCAATCCAAAATAAAACAGATTACGATTATACTGTTCGCTTGGAAGTTAAGTTGTCCTTTGTGTTAACATCGGAACTGCCATTACTTATATGCATGTACAATATTTCATTTCTACTGCAAGCTAGTTCAGCTTAAAATAATCCACTTTTGGAAAGATCTTTTAAATGCATTTTCATTTTTTTTTCTATATATTTCAGTCAGTATTTGAAAATTCGTTCCAATTATTTTTACATCTTTGTATTTAAAATCAGGGAAATTGAAAATTGAAGCATTTTTCACTTCCCAGTTCTCAAAATAAATATCAAACGAAACTGGTAGAACAAATTTGTTTAATTTTACATTTTGACATATATGAAAAAGGATTGAAAAAAAAAAACAGTATAATTTCCCCATTCTCTATTGATTCTTTTCTTAAATTATTGGTTTTTTTTCATTTCTTCGTTCCCATTTTATATACTATATTTTACTACGACGTATATGAAATTTTATTTCATATGTATATAAATGATTCTTTTTATGTTAGGAAACTTAATAGTAATAACAAATAGCATGTATTGATTTAAATATACCTTAAGCTATAACATCTTTTCAAATTTCGAGGCGTCCACATAATTGAGCTTTCTAAATACATATC